TGATCTAATTTGATTTTTTCTATCTGTTACTTCTTTCTATCTGTACTTGCTGGTGTGTGTGTGTGTGTGTGTGTGTGTGTTTGTGTGTGTGTAGTACATAATAAACTCAATCATTCAAAATGAAGCACACATATTATAGATTATTCTCTGGATCATAGAGAACACTACAAGCATGAGAACTGCAGTTTAGATACCCAGCTCCTCCCCGTGTGTGTGTGTGTGTATGTATGTGTGTGTATGCACACGTGCATGTACATGTGAATACATATATGTCCAAATGTGTGAGGCACATGCACATGGAGACTAAGGATTAACATGTCTTCTTTAGCCATTCTGTATTTTATCGCTCTGAGGGATTAGCTGCCCCTCAGGAGTACTTAAGTTACAAAACTTGATGATATCCAACTCATGCTAGTTCCAATGGCACACAAATACCAAAACAGTGAGCTTGCTCCCTTCACCTACGTTTCCTGGTTTGCCTCCAGGGGCTTTGGGTTTCAAACAGTACACTGCCAAGTCTCCCTAATGGTAGATGTATAATCATCCACTTTACCAGAGGAGAGTTTCAGGCGTCTGACTTCAGTAACACTAGCCCTTCTCCACTAGCAGCATGGTTACTCTAAACCTTCAGGTCGAACTTTGCCTCACTGTGTTTGAAAAGTGAACTACAAAGTCAAATTATTAACCAGACTTTAGATTCAATCTTTCTGCATTGTATTTTTGTTTTAGTTAGACAATATTACTCCCCATTTCTTTTGTGACCTTTGGAATGGTGAGACAAAATGATTACCATTATATTTTGGAAACATATAGTTTCATAGCATCATGGTGGGAGAAGAGATTGACTCATGAATCACAAATTTAGGTAGGTGAATGAAAATTTTGAGGGTGCAGAGTTTACTTCTCAGTGAATCATACTTTGAATCTCATGCCTATCTGACTTAGATGTGATCTAGATGAAACTTCAGGCTTAAATCTTATATCTTAAATATGTTGAAATGTGAACTTTTGGAGCTGCTACTGTTGAATGAAAGTGATTTTGAAAATGATAAATACATGATTTGGGGAGGTGGGTGCATATGGAGCAGGAAGCTGTGGTCTGAATTTCTGTAGCTCTCCCAAATCATGTATTCTATGTAGGCTACTTACAGTAGCAACATTTGCACTTCTGAATTTTTGAATTTATTAAGTTTATAACAGCAGAAGTGAAAGAACAAGTAGGCATAAGACACAGAAACATCAGCAATTCTGTTAAAGAGAACAACCAGGAGTAGCCTGCTTGAAAGAACAAAGATAATGAAATTTAGAGCTTATCTGACAGAAATCAACTGGGGAAGTTGAGGCAGCCAGCTGGGGTTCCAGATTACAATTTCTCTTTCTGGATGAGTCTCTGGCTTCTCACTCCCACTGAAGACATTTTTATAGTGTAAGATAATTAACAGAAGCCTCTATTGAAAACGCTTTTTCTCTCTAGCTGTTCTCAAGGACACAATGTTTTCAATACCCTCTGCTGGTTGCTTCTTTCCATGTCACAAAATCAATGGGCCAGCCTGTCTCTAGACTAGGGGACTTGAAAGATATTTTATCATATTCATAGGCCTGAGAAGGAGTAGATCACCTTTTTAAAATTTTTTTTGAGAGCCAGTTTCTCAGTAAGCTTAAAACAGCACATGGCAATTAACAGATATAAAATATAAAGTATGTTTAAAATAAACCCCACAGGTGATGGTATTGAGATATACAGTCTTTAGGTCTTAGATTTGCATCTCACAAGTGAGGTCGGGTACCTTATGAGGAGAAAAAACTTGTTTGCTGTATCATCTATATGAGAATGAAATCAGATGCCATTTCTGAACCCAGGAGCCCTTGCCAGACATTAAATCTGCTTATGCCTTGATCTTGGACTTCAGAGCCTTCAGAACTGAGTAATAAATGTCTGTTGTATATAGATTACCCAATCTAAGATTTTTATTACAGCAGTCCAAATAAACTAAGATACTTGTCTTATTTTTTTAGACTTAGAAGTAAAATGTCTAACATTTCACCAAAAAGTATAGTACGTATTGCAATGCATTAGAGTAAAGACAATTGTCTTTGCATTTTAATGTAGTTTCTTTTAAACTCATCGTTGGTAAACTCACTGTTGGTATTAAACTTTTGTCATATTGCTTGTGTGTGCTTTATTGTTTAAGAACTTTGTATGTGTATATAATGTGTTTGATCAAGTCTGCCCCTCATAACTCTCTGCTCCAATTCTTTTCCCATACCCTTACAACTATTCCTTACAAACTTCAAATGGTCATGTTGTTTTACATACTGAATCTACACAGTATGCAGATGCAGGTCTATCTTCTGGAGCATGGGCAGCTTCTCATAAAATGTTTGTTTTTCTATTTTGTGGAATAGTTTAAAGAGTATTGGTATTAGGTCTTCTTTGAAGGTCTGATTGAATTCTGCCTTAAAACCATCTGACAAAAGGCTGATATGGCTGTCTCCTGAGAGGCTCTGCCAGAGCCTGACAAACACAGAGGTGGATGCTTGCAGCAAACCATTGGACTGAGCACAGGGTCCCCAATGGAAAAGTTAGAGAAAGGACTGAAGGAGCTGAAGGGGTTTGCAGCCCCATAGGAAAAACAACAATATCAACCAACCAGGCCCCCCAGAGCTCCCAGGGACTAACTACCAACCAAAGAGTATACATGGAGAAACCCATGGCTCCAGCTGAATATGTAGCAGTGGATGGCCTGGTTGGGCATCAATGGGAGGAGAGGTCCTTGGTCCTGTGAAGGCTCAATGCCCCAGTGTAGAGGAATGCCCAGTGGTAGGGAAGTAGGAGTGGGTAGGTGAACACCCTCATAAAACAGGGGGAAGAGGGATGGGATAGGGGGTTTCCAGAGGGGAAACTGGGAAAGGAAATAACATTTGAAATGTAAATAAAGAAAATATCCAATAAAAAATTAAAATATGAATGGAAAAGAAAAATTTTTTTGTTTTTGCATCCCTGATATAATCACTTGCTTTTTCAACTTTATAGAGGGATTTTAATCCAGCAACATGGCTAGTATAGGAGAAATACAGATACACCCTTAGCACACTCCTTTAATCCTTCTGGTGGGAATACAACATGCCTGTGGCACGCACCGTTAATCCCAACGATGAAGATAAAGTTAGTTTGAAGAAGGAAGCACCTATGTTTCAAAGTGATGTCTAATTGAGTGGCAGGCAAAGTGACGAAGAGAAAGATTCAACAGAATTGGATGTGCTCAACTCTCATGAGAATAGAGAGGAAAGAGAGGTGTTTTAAGAGCTTAAGAGAAAACACCACACACATATACACATATACAGAGAGAGAGAGAGAGAGAGAGAGAGAGAGAGAGAGAGAGAGAGAGAGTGTTTTACCATGAGAGTTTTATAAAGATAGGTTGAAAAGAGAACAAGTTATAGGTGAGGATAGAATGAGCCAGAGAGTGAGAAGGAGTCAGAAGATTAGAACAGATTGCCTGAGATAATATGAGGCCAAGCAGAATGATTTAGACAGACGCTGAGAGATGCCAATTCACATCAGTCAGCCTGGAAAAGAGTTTTGAGCCAGAATAGCTGAGTTGAACCAGTCAGCCAGAGTTTTTAGAAAGAGCTAGAAAGGCTGAGCTTATTCAGCAGTAAGTCTCAGAGGCTGAAAATACACTAGGTCTAGATTAGTTTGTATGGAGGCTAGAAGCTTCCAGGGCTAGGCCTAGGTTCGAAAACAGGCACTCAACCTCTAGGATGACAATTACCTCAGACAAATAAAAGTTACTTTTACACTACTTTATATTGTTAAGTTGATAAATTGCCCTGATTAATTTAAAATGGTAAAACAATCTGCATTCCTGATGTAAGTGAACTTTGGTTATGAGTAATTTTATCATTTTTGATAGATTTATTTATATTTTGGTTAGAAATTTTAATTCATGTTCATATAAGTCATAAACTTATAATTTTCCATTTTGTAATTAATCTTTCACATCCTCAAATTTATGTTACCTCATAAAATAAGACAAGCACGGTTTTATCTTTCATAAATCTCATATTCTGTTAATAATTACATTATTTATTTCTTTAATACTTGGTAGAAATGACTCTGATGATAATTTAAGGTGGAGAATTTTTCACTTCTTTCTTTCTTTCTTTCTTTCTTTCTTTTCCTTCCTTCTTCCCTTCTTTCATTGTTTCCCTCCCTCTGTCCTTTCTTCCTTCTTTCCTTCCTTTCCTTTTTTCTTTTTTCTTGACAGCCAAAGCTCTATAACATAACCATCTAAGCTGCCATTCTTATATTGCTCTGTGTTCCTCAGTGGAGTTCCCATACATGGAAAATATTCTCTAATGATCTACTGAATTAAGTGGCACATCTCCACAGTCTTTTAATTCTGATAGTTTTCTTCTCCCCTGTCTTTGAAGGCCAGGCTTTTGAAAACAGTATCGTGAAACTGCTGGAACTCACCCATCTTCAAGGTAATTATCTAGGGTAGAAAATAATTCATGTTTTTACTATATCAACTAATGAGGATTATGAATAACAGTGTACAAGTACATTACAACTGAGACCAGGAATCCTTGAGAAGGATAAAAGAGTCAGCTATCATCAGAAATCTAAAGCTTGCTCTATTTGCAAGTATCACTGAAACCAAACTCCATTGGTAGTTCTATCACATGAGACAAAGTTGAAGTGAATTCTACTATAAGCCAAGTCAAAAGAAAGTAACCAAATGAAATAATGGGAAAAGAGACAGAAAATCCAAATAAATCCAAAAATAAAAGTCTAAAATAGGGACATTACCACTAATATGAAACCAAGGAAAAGAAAACAAATAATAAAAATTAAGTAGTATTTTTATCATATTATGGTCAATTTAATAAAAGAGCTAAGGGATTAGTATAACTTTAAAGATTTAATATTTTAAAAGAAGCATTTTTAAATTATTTAAAATTATGGAATACAACCAGAAAGTTTAATCACTTACATTCCATATGCTGAGCTTATAGCAAGGCTCGTAATTTGCTGAGGAGGCTCACCATCTACCCACACCAACTGAATAACAAGATCTGCTTGATAGCCCGGCGGCATTCGTACTGGCCGTGTTTTAACACTGGAAGAAAGAGGAAACATAATTCTATCCCATACATCTTTACCATACTTATGCATCTTCAGACTTTACATAGGATCATGCTTCAAAAATATATAACGTGGAGGCAAGTATGTGGATAGATGATGCTTTGTCATTCTCTTAGATGTACCAAGTGACATATACTTGGTTTTAACTTATCAAACTTTTTTTTAAATTTTAGGACAGTGCTTTAAAATAAATGTAGCAAGGCAAGCCAGAGGAAGCAAGCCATTAAGCATCATTCCTCCACCATCTCTGCATCAGTTCCTGCCTTGAGTTCTTGCCTTGGCCTCCCTGTAGTGGTGAGCTATAACCTATAAACCAATTGAATCCCTCCTTCTCCCAAATTACTTTTGGTAGGTGTTTTATCACATCAACAGATATCAAACTAGGACCATGGTCAATAAATTACCACCCATCAAGTTGTCAACATATCCATTACCAGTTCTCTTATTTTTTCTAAATCTACTCTACCTGTATCTTCTGACAATCTTCCTCTACTTCTAGCTATACGGAGAAACCTTACAGTCACCCTTCACAACTGCACTCTTATATTTATCAGTTGCTCATGAAATGTCAGCAAGATTACTTTGGAAATATATCCAGATCCTAAGTACTTTTTACTTCTCAGCTGCTATGATCTTAGAACTATCAAATAAAAACACAAGCCATCTACTTAAATTTAAATTTTAAATAAATAGATAAATAACAGCTTTTGAAATTGAATGTATATCCACTGTAATACAATGTAATGTATGTCCACTGTAATATAATACAATGTAATACAATGATGTTGTAAAAGTCATTGTTTATTTTCAATTAAAAATTAAAGGTATAAAACTGATGTTTTGTTTGAAACAATAGATAAGTTATCCCTTTACTTAATCTTAAATACTTTGACCGCCTCATAACTGGTCTCTAACTTCTATTCTTCCCTCCATTCTCAAACTCATGTTCAACTCACTTACTAAACTGATCTGCTTAAAATTAAAGTCCAATCATGTTATTTTCTAATCAAAACATTACAACGACTTCCTACTTCCCACTTGAAATAAATGGTAAGGCTCTCATAGTGCCCTTTTATTAGGCCCCTATCATCGATAGATATGAAATCACTTCTTATTATCAAGACGCTTTCCTGAGCTCTAGCTGTATTGGCCTAATTATTTTCCTTAGCATGACAAGCACTTGAAGCCCATTGCTATAGCTATTGATTTTGCTTAGAATTTTCTTCCATCATTTATTATTTAACTCTCTTAATTATTTCAAGTTTTTCTTTAAATCTTATTCTTTTAACAAGGCCAATGATAAATATTTATTAAGCATTCCAAAAATAAAAATAAAATAATTGTACAAATATGTATATATTGATAATACTTAGAATACTCCTAAAAGTAAAGGAATTACCTATCTGAAATGCTTATTTACCAGCTAATGTATATAAAAGTGTCCAACTTCAGCTAAACAAAGGGAGAAATGCCAAGATTTAGTGAAACATGTATTATATGCTTCTCAAGAAACCATCCATGTAGTCTAACTAATAGAATAGTATTTAGACTTTTTGTGTATAGTTGACCTCTTGGCATTGATCACATGATATATGACTATATGGATTTTTCTTTTGGTTTTTAATAATCCTTGAGATTTACTTCAGTATTTGACAAGTCAACCCTTTTGCACGGCACTAACTGTTGATATGAACCACAGCTTTATTTCACTTGTTTTTCTCTATCATCTCTATCCTTAATTCTTCTCTATTTTATAAATATCTAAGTAATTAGATGACTTGTGCTCTAATAATAGGTTTTTGTTGGTGGTGGTGGTCATTTTTTTTTTTTTTGGTTTGGTTACAAACAAATGGGTCTGTGGTGCTATTTTAAATGTTCCAGTGTTTTCATTGGTTTTCACATTCTTTGAATTCAATTAAATGAAAGAAACTGATATGAAAGAAAAATTAAAAAATAAATGGACTGGCACAGTGGCTTAGCAGGTAAAGGTGTGGCCACCAAACTGAGCTTCATATCCTCAGGACCCACGAGGTGGAGGGAGAAAACAGATTTCTACAGGTTGTCCTCTGACTGTCACATGTACAGCCATGTGACATGTGTGTATGTGTGTATATGCACACAAACAAGTAGAAATACATATATATATATATATATGTATATATATATATATAAATTTATAAAAGATTTTCACTAGCTAAAATTTAATAAATATTTTTGCTTGTAGATTTTTCTCCCAATTAATTTATGCTTACTCTTCATTTTTGAAAATCTTTTTAAAAATTAGAAGTTATGTATTACTGCTAATTATATAGCTTTCTCTGTTGAAAACTCTTCTCTAAAGTTTCTATACATATTTGTATAAAAAATTAGAAAACAAACTGTCTAGAATTCTTTAAGTAATAGATACAGATATTGTTTTATGGGGCTTAGAAAAAACTCTTTCTTAGGCTAAATTCTCCAAATATCTAACACGAGAAATAATTATATGACAATGTAAAGTAATAATTTATAAATCCTATAAAATTAAAAGCATAAAAGCAAGATAAATTTGCCTATGAGCTTTACATGCTAAGCTTTTTTATTATGTTGTTAAACATAATTTTGATATATTGAGGTAAAATATTTTTTAATGATTTCTTTTTTTAATTTATTTTTTTACACTCCAGATTTTATTCCCACCCCCATCCACCCTCCGACTGTTTCACATCCCATACCTCCTCTCCACACCCCTGTCTCCACGAGGATTTAATAAAATATTTAACAATAATCACTAATTAGGAAACAAGATTAGATTAAACTTCTGGTTAAGCTTCCCATCTTATAAAATCCATGTTTTCTTTAGAATCCTTTTGAGAAAAACATAAATAGGTAAAAGTATGAAAATACTGTGCCTTTTGTGGGGGGAGTTATTCAAGGAAAATCATGCTCCCCTAACTCATCTAACAAGAGAGAGCAACAGCTTTATCTGTCACATTGTGCAAGACTGATGTAATTCACAGGTGAGTGTGCTTCCGCGCTTGGTAGCAGTTCTTACCTGAGACACGGGATGCTGTCCTTCGTCACTCCTTCACTAGACACAGTGTTAGTGCTTCCAGAAAGACTCCTTGAAGAAGGAAGTTGAGAGGAGAGATCTGGAAATGGAGGACTTGTTTCTGGCTCAGGAGTAATAATGTCTTCAACATCGCACTGAAGTCGTACTTCTAATGACTTAAAAAAGGTCGTTTTAATTTAGTATAATAATAATATTAGGCACATTAATATATCTGAGGTTTTTATACATTATTCTAAATTATTTTTATCTTAAGTAATGAATTATATGGAATGGCAATCACCAAAAAAACAAAAACAAAAACAAAAACAAAAAACAAAACAAACCATAATTTTTAATTCCTCAGAGCTATGAAAGAAAAACACTTATTATTAAAAATATTTTTTTTGTGTGGAGGTTTTGAAACAGGGTTTCTCTGTGTAGCTCTGGCTGTCCTGCACATTTTGTAGATCAGGCTGGTCTGGAACTCACAGAAATCTGCCTAACTCTACCTCACGAGTGCAGAGATTAAAGGTATGTGCCTCTACATCCCAGTATTTACCTTCACATCGTATTTGTGTGGCAGAAAACTTTATATAATGAGTATTCTTTTGCTTTCTCAATCTAGTTTTGTCAACTTGACACAGCTAGAGTCATTTTGAAAGAGGGGCCCTCAATTGAGAAAATGTCCCCAAATAGAGAGGCATTGTAGACAAGCTGTGGGATATTTTCTCAGTGATTGGTTGTGGGGAAGTCCACTGTGGGTGGAGTCTTCTTTGCGCAGATGGACTTGAGTTGTATTAGAAAGTAGTATGAGCAAGCCTTGGGGAGCAAGCCAGTCGGCAGTGTTCCTCCACCACGTATGTCTGTATCAGTTCTAGCCTCCAGGTCTACACCCTGCCTGAGATCCCACACTGCTTGAGTTCCTGCCATGACCTCTGGTGGTTGAGAACATCTGGAAGTATGAATGAAATAAATAATTTCCTCTCCAAGTTGCTTTTGGTCATGGTGCTTTATCATAGTAAGAAAAACCCTAACTAAGACAATTTCTTACAGTAAATTATAATTTGGTGGATAATTTAAATAAAAGAAGAAACTGACAGTTACTCCAATGAAGGAAATTAAAATGGATGTTTATATTTATAAATAGTACTTAATTTACAGTGTCACGAGTACATTGATATGTAAAGTGGATTACAGTACTATTCATATGGCATGAACAGAGCAGTATTACCAAACACTACAGTTAATTATCTTTAAATTACTAGACGCCTCTGCCAGTGACAACCTGGTTACTGAGTTATTGAATACTTACTACTACACATGCTGATGCTGCTATAACATTAGTATAAAAACTTGATCAAATTAGCATGAATATTTCCAGTTAACTTTTATTCTCTACTTTCCATTTTTTACACAGTAAATTATATGGGTATGACTATAAATTGTCCCCAGACTATGTTACTGCCTATTAATTGCTCAGAGCCACACACACAGATAATCAATGGTAAAGTTAGGATTGAAACTTAAGCACCTTTAACCTCAAGCCCTACACTTTCAATAGAATGACATTACTTTTAGTTGAGGTAAAAACACACACCAAAAATGCCTATATAAGATAATCTTTATATTCTGGAAAAATATATAGAACAGAATAGAGAAATTATAGACATATTAACTTATATGTAGCTGATACCACAATAACACCATTGTTTTGTATGATCAGAATTTCATGTAATGGTAAGGTAATGTTATAATTACTTTTAACCATATAAAATGTTGGTCCATAAAAAACTATTAAGAGTAACTTTATTATAGTTGAGAAATAACTGTTTATGTCAGTTTATTAACAAGAAAACAAAAAAAAACGGTTAAATTTTTTAAAAGGACAAGGCCTACACTAATTTGTCACTTATACAGAAAGCAAAACTCTACACTAATTAAGTGCATTTATACATATATGCATATGCTTGCTTAGGCATATATATGTAATACCTCTTTTAAAATGTATTATATATATTATAGTAAGCATTTTTACTTTATAGGTAAAATAATGCTGATGCTGTTATATTGATAATATTTAGGAGGAATTGACTCAGTTTAGTCAGGTACGTACAAGATGAAGAGATAGAAAGATATATAACAACAGACAACAATGTGGTGTTCAATTTGTAGAGAAATTAATTTAAAATAGCAAGCTCATTTTGACACTGAAGTTTTGTTAGAGAATTTTTCATTTAAAAACAAACTATGTTTTAATATATTAAGTAACAATAATTTAAAATACTACAGATTATATTAAATATGAATTATATAGTGTTGTAGAAATTATTTAATCTTGACAAGGGTATTCTTCCCTATCTTTGACCATTAGTTCCCAAATAAAAGACACACAGAACCTTTATATTTATAATAAGCCTTAAACAGCACAAGACCTGGGCAGATATCCACCTTCTATGCTATTAGAATCTACCTTCCTATAGGTAACCCTGAATTATTATTTATTATTTACTATGTTTCATCTGGGCTGCTCTTAACTAATTGGCCAGCCCTCAGGGGCCACATTTTTATGACTCACCTGATCCACGGCAGCTTCTTTTTCTTCCTCCTGCACCTTCTTCCTCTCCTCATGGTTCTCTTCCAACCCCAAGCCCAGGAAACCTAAACTCCACCTATGCTTCTTCTACTCAGCTATTAGCTATTGGGATCTTTATTTACCAATCAGAAATAACCTAGGGACAGGGTCTGCCTAGCTACTGGCTGTTGGCATCTTCATTACCAGTCAGAAATAATTTGGGGGCGGGGTCACTTGAGTCTACAGGCAGACTCAAGGATTTGGGGGCCTACACTTAGCATTACAGTAGACAGCAAGAGCAAACCTCAACAAGATACTGTATTCTTGATGCCTTAAAAACCATACCAAGCGGTAGTTGAAAAACATACTGTTTTCTTTTAGGAACTATAAATAGGAAAGTTAAATCTCCAGTAACTTACCACTATTTCTGTTGTGATTTCGTGTCTGCTGAATTTATAAATTATGACATATGCAGAGACTCCAGATACGCAAAATATTCTGCTCTCTGGACACCAATAAATCATCTGAACAGCAAAAGGATCTTCCTCTACAATCTCACATGTCTGTTTGCCGTCTCCTGCCTTCTGTTTTTCAAATACTTTGGAAGTTTTTAGCTTATACAACATCTGCAGGGTCACTATAAAGTAATAAAATATAGTTATCTTCTATTTTTGATTCTAACATTGTTCAAGTTTTTTCAATGTATTTGTTGAATCACAAGAATAAAACTCAAGTAGCGAAAATTATATTTACATAGTAAGCCCTCAGTAAAGTGCCCTTGTGGCAGTAGTATCAAGAGAGAACTATATGAAGAAAGAAAAAAAATGTTTGTGAGCATTGGAACTAAGAAAATGGAAATTAGAAATAAGAAAATGGAAGAAATAAATCTCTTCTAGGTGAGATGCTGCCATATTTTTTTTACAACAATCCCTTTAATTCTTTGATAAGAGGTTGATACAATACTCTAGATAGTTTTTTTTCAACAGAAATCATTGAGGAAAGATCTCATCTGGGTGTTCCTAATTAAGAAAGGTTCATGTATAAGCTTATAAGACTCTATGTTTATAAATGGTTTTCAATATTATTTATTTTGTTGAAGCCATTTGACTTCAGAACATAATAAAAACACAATTTCCCCTACAAAAAAGAACTCTTGTTTTATAAATGATCTTCACGAGATCAGTCCAGTTCAAGATAATTCTACAAAGTAACTGGTCTTAACTTTTTGTTTGCTTTGGCTTTGGTGTGATCTCTCTGTATAGCTCTGGCATTTCCGAACTGGCTCTGTAAACTAGGCTGGCCTTGAACTCACAAAGATCCACCTGCCTCTGCTTCCTGAGTGCTAAGATTAAAAGCCTGTCCCACCACTACCTGGCTTTCACCTGAACTTTTAAAAATTGTCAATTAACATGAAATATCCAGGCCCACTCTAGACTTTAAAAATCTCAAAATATAAGTAGATGCAAAAAAACGATCTTTTTTTTTGCTGGTTTAAGGGTATCGCTGAGCTAGCTGAAAGGCTGAAGTAGACTTGTAGAGTAGAGGGCATCTTGTGTCATATTAATCATTTTTCTCATATTTCTTATTTTCAAGATTATTGCTTCATGGTTACACCTGCTCAGAAACTTCAAAGTGAATGCTAACCTCTTCTCTTCCTATTTTTGACTATCCTAAGTTTTAACTATCCAGCAAAATGTATGTTAGTTGTTAATACATTAAAATATTCTTTCTACTTGGGCTGGTAATGAATGATTGACTATAGCATGAGAGTCTTAAGATAGAGGCCAGCATAGGCTATCTAAATAGGATACTAAAAGTATCCTATCTGAAAGATAAACAAATACATAAATATATAAGTTATCTTTCTGAAATTTAATGGTCCAAATAAATCTCTACCATTTCTGATTAAAATAGCATTTGATTATACTACATTTAGAAATTTCCTAGTTTGACATGTATTTACATGAGTGTACTTCTTTACCTTTTCTTAAAAACATGTTTTTTGAATGACATATATGGGCATAATGAAGACTTAGGTAAGGCTACAGGCCCTTGCACATTGGCCACATTTGTTATTCCCTAAATTACCTTATTGTTAAAAAATTAAAAAGAATTTTTTTGTGTTATCAAATAATTTCTCTTGATTCTCATGGACTATTAAAGAGTGGGATAGAAAAGCTGAGAACAGAGGAATAAAAGCACTTCTCAAATACCACGCAGGTAGGACACAGAAGGAATTCCTGGAACAGTTAATCTGGTAAAGCTTGGTTCTTTTCCTGATGCAACATGTTTTCTGTTTTTTGTTTTCTTTTTTTAAATAGGATAGCTGAAAGAGTGCCTATAGTCTTGTTTATTTAATATTATTGAATATAATTAGAGTAGAGATACTTTAAGGTGATCTAAAATACATAAAATAAATATTGTAACAAAGCATTATAATATAATTATGCTATAATATTTCTCAAGTAACAATTATTCAAATTAAAAGGTGATAGATAGCCATCAATGAATATTAACAAAATATTTTTGTTCAATGGGGATAAATATAAAACTTACTTGCTGAGGCATCCCAAAATTTTATTGTTCCATCAGCATGACTAGATAAAAATAAATTACATTAATTAAAATATGTTAAATGAAAAATCACTCGATACATAAAAAGTTGAGTTACTGCTATTATATTTTCACTAAAAGTCATTGTAATAAATGTTGATCTATGAGAAAATATTTCTAAGTTCAAAACAATGATATCTTTTTAAAAGGACACATTGAACTTTAAAGAAAAAAATATTAGATTTTCTTCCTGTAATATTATATGTGTCATAGAGAACAGTAAAATAGCTTATGAAAGTGAATACTATTTTAAAATAAAACTAACATTGATGAAAAAGATAACTTAAATATCAAAATGTAAGGGAAAATATAAGACTGCCATGATTTATTGCCATGAACCAATAGCTGAAAAGGAAGATATAGAATCGCTTTGATTTGTAGAGCTTATAATGGATATGTACCAAAATCTCAATTACTCAATGAGAGTAATACTTAAATGAAGGCCAGCATACAAAAATAAACACTGTTTCATTGTAACAGAAAAAAACTTGGAAAAGTAAAGTATAAATTATCATTTATAATAATAAGATACTATAATACACTTAGATAAAAACTTATAATTTATGCTAGAGCCATATGCTGAAAAAATATAAAATCCTGAGCAGAGGAAAATAATTACTGATAAAATAGTAGATACAGTATGTTTTTGATGATAACATTCATAGTGGTTCTAATAAATAACATAGATTCAATATATTCCTTGATGGGATATTTAAAAAATGTAAAACAAACTAATTACAGATTTATATATAAAGGAACTACAACAGTCAAAATACGTTTGAAAGAAATAGAGACTAGAAGGTTAAATTACTTGTAGTTTTAAGTCTTACTCTAAAGACTTACTGAAAGAGTTTTATACTGGAGTATGAGTGTGAATGGAATGCAGTAGTCTAGATATTGATCTACATTTGTATGCTTAACAGGACGTGTTTTTCATTATTTATTTTTATTCACATTACATTCCAATTGCAGCAGTCCTGCCCTAACAAATTTCTCCCTTACTATCCCCTCCCTTTCTTCTTAGAGAAGGGGAAGCCCCCCTTGGGCACTATCCCACCCTGGGACATCTAGTCCCAGCAGGACTAAGCATCTCCTGCTGAAGCCCATCCAGGCAGTCCTGGTGGATGTAGTCATAAAGAAAGTCATTTACTTCAACAGACTTATTTAAAAATAACTTCATACATTGTTAGTATAGGTTAATGTTTTTAGTTAACTTACATAATATTATTTCACAATGACACTATAATCTAGTTTGAGAACATGTCCAAAGTTGCCTCAGACAAATGTATATACCTCTTTCCCTGTTCCTGGCCATTGTGACTAGGACAGCTACGAGCATTGCTGAGCAAGTACTCGTGGAGTAGGATGCTGCATCCTTTGGCAAGATGCCAAAGCGTATAGCTGAGCCATACAGTAAATTTATTTTTAGTTTTTTGGGGGTTCTCCATACTATATGAAGTTGCATTTCTACCAACAATGAATAAGGATTCCTCTTTCTCCACAATCTCACCAGCACCGTCAGTTGTTTTGTTGTTCTGAACCATTCTGACTGGGGTGAGATGAAATCTCAAAAGGGTTTTTTTTCTTAATTGGTAGGGAGTTTCTTAAATTGAGAACTCCCTGTTTAGATCCCTAACAACATAAATGTTCAACTACCCCTACCCCTTTTTGTTCCTGTCCCTGGAGATGTGGCTGTAAGATGAAGTGACTGAGGCTGGGCCAGGCTTCAGCACAGAAGAGAGAACTATGTAGCCCAAGGCAGGCTGTGAACAGTCAGGGTAACATAGCAGAGGGAGGAGGTTGGGATGGAGTAGAAGTGGGAGGTGGCCATCAGGGATTTGGCAGGAGGTTGAGGGCAGAGTTTCAGTACCTAGATAAATGGAAGCCAAGGACCTACAGACTGCATTGATGTCCACAGACTTGGGCTGGGCCTTGCTGGAGGTCAGATTGGACAGCTTCTTCAGTTTCTTCAGCTCTAGGGAGAATCTTTTATAGCACCTTTCACACACAGGCTTCATATAGAACTCCACAGGTTTTTTCCATCAGCCTTGATCGCATGACTGCAGTTGTAACAAACATCTACCTCCAAAGATCTGATTATAGTAGGCCTCACAATAGGTCAGGCCCTCTTTTCATAGCACTGGTGCTACAGGAATGGCTTCTCACGCTTGGCACAAACTACTCCATAGTCCACCATTTTCCAGTGTCTCTACTACACAGCCATCACTGGGTTGATGGCAAGTCCCACAGATGGGGACATCCATCTTGTCATGGCAAGACAGGCAGTAGAGCTCACCTTTCAGCTCTTGGTTCAGAGGTCAGTTCCTTCCCACAGTGGGAACAGTTGACATGATCTGGGTGGTAGGCCTCACTTTTTGAATATGAGAGGTTGCTCATCAATGGCCAGCTCACATCAGCTAGCTCTACAAAACACAGCTCGCAATATAAACAGCCTGAATGCCAGTTCACCTAACTTCACAGACTTGATCATGTATCCAGTGACAAACTCACCACAGAATTCATAGCATGGAGCAATCAGCCTTTGAAAGACATGTTTGTAGTACTTAATGGCCCTCAAACTCATAAAAGAGCCAGAAGTACTGTGCACACACAAAGCAGTACTTATGGTAGAGTACTCCAGTGCTGTTGAAGATGTGCTCTTTATTTAGGGGTAGTTGTAGGCCTGGCAGCACTGGTGCATGCCATTGGCTGAGCATAGACATCTTTCTTTCTCTCTTGGTGACTGTGTGTCTAGCCCAGTTGGTAATCCTGGATGTCCTCAAGGTTTTCTGATGCACAATATGTCACTCATCATATTAGTTTAGTGTTATGTGTGGGAGGACTTTTCTCTAGTGTGTCTTTCAACCTTGTTGTTTACTGTTCTAAAGTTTGACTATGATGTATCTTGTGGTTTATTCCAACTTCTAGACTCTGTGGGTTCATGTTGTTTTGCTAAATTTGTCAAGTCTTCAGCCATCATATCTGTGACTGATTTTCCAGCAATGTCCACATTTTTTTCTCTATCATAGATTACTGAGACTAACAAACGGATTGGGAATGTGGTTGCTTATTATTGCTGGGCAGTGCTGGGAATCCTGGCCCCATATGGCTCTACTGATATCACCAGACATGGGTTTTATTCAGGGAGATGAAAATCTCAGGCTTCTGCTTTACCTTCAGTGAAGGAAACTGGAATATCTCTTTAGATCCTGGTAATAGGTCTAAGCCTTTGCTCGAATGGGTTAGGGTGTGTGTGTGTGTGTGTGTGTGTGTGTGTGTGTGTGTGTGTACTTAGTGATACTAGCTTGTTTAAGAATCATGTCTCAGAAGGCTGCTCTATTCTCATTCTTTGGCTAAGGAGAAATCATTTTTGTTATTTGCTCCATTAGTATCTGTTCATAATCTCAGATTACTGGCTTCTTTAGATCAAATACTGTGTTAAATGAGGAACTTGTCACCAGTAGTGCAAGATTTACTATGTGATCCTATTAAAGAACTTATTAACATGTAGATTTATGTACATATTTATCTATATCTCTTTAGGTCTAATATTAGAACATGAAGAGTCTACAAAGCAGTGACACGTCGTATGCTATAAAGTTAAGAGAGGAAAAGTGGATTCTGTTCAAGGGCTCACAGTGTATCATGGCAGGAAGAGTGTGGCAGAACAGTTCCCACCATGGCAGCTGGAGCATGTGACAAATTATTCATCTCAAGGTAAATGGAAGGAAGCAAACTAAAAAGAAGGGGCCAGACACTAGATATAACCCTTCAAGGCATGCTTCCTCTGGTCTATTTCCTCCAGGCGACTTCCACCTCCTGGAGTTTCTCCTTTCTCCCAGAATAGCACTACCAGGTATTTGCCATCAAAAAGGCAATACTTGAGCCTGTGGCAGCCTTTTTTTGTTCAACTATAGAAATGGGGATACAAAGCATGGTTCCTGAAACTTACAGGAATCATGATATTAGGTTAAGGACTTTCCTGAAATTAATATTACATAACTTCCAAATAAATTATTTCCTGTGAATCACACTCATAATTTTCTTATGATTTTTTGATAATATAATCTAGATATAATTCTTTTGTAATAATTCTGTTTCTAACAATTTGATTGTACTTTTTTACCAAAGCTAAGAACTATGATTTAAAGTTATTTCTTATGTCATACTTAAATGATTCTGCCATAATACAATTATATAAAAATGTCAAGACTTAAATATTTTATTGTTATTAAATTTATAACTTACAATGTGTTATAATTTACAACTTGTAAAACACCTTACTTACCCTGTAATAATAATTTCTGGATAAGTTTGTGCTCCAAGGTTCCAAGCTCCTCCACTGACTGGCCATTCCTAAATAGATTATTGAAGAGAATATGTGGCCTTTATTTTTAAAATTAAATGGCTTAGAATTTTGAAATTAAATGCTACAAAATAATTTTTAAAAAGTTAATAATAAGTCATGACAAAACATCCAAAGATGAAGTGCCTAGTTAGCATCAATTCCTTTCTTAAACAAATAGATCTGTAAATGTAGAATAATAATTTCTTTAAAAAATAAATTTTAACCATTTATATAAACCAATAAAAGAAGTATTTTTAATTGGATAAATACAGTGTTGCAACAAATGTCATGCAGTATGTATTGCCATCAAGTTACTGTGGTGTTATTTAACCCAGAACCACATGTAAATAGTACTTTTTTGAATTGTACATTTCAGTTAACCTGGGCCAATAACAGGAACTATATTAGATGGCTTGTGATAATTATAAATACTTGAATTTTAAACATTGTAAAGAAAATTTTCATTATGTTTAAAGGATTTCTGTGGTTTTTTTCCTTTGTTGTTGTTGTTTGAGATACAGTTTCTCTGTTTAGCCCTGGCTATCCTGGAACTCACTCTGTAGACCAGGCTGGCCTTAAACTCAGAGATCCACCTACCTCTGCTGAGATTAAAGGTGTGTGCCACTACCACTGACTAAGTTTTTTTCTAATGATAAATTGAGAAAAAAACTGATTCTTGAGTTTCGTAAAGCTTGGTTCATGTAAAAGAATTAAAGGCTGCTTACTATGACTCTGATAATTTATATACATAATACTAAAATAAGCATGACTGATAAATAGATCCTAGTATGTAATCACATAGTGTACAGGAAATTTATAATCTTACAGTCTTAGAACTATGCTTCAGTCAGAAAATCGAATTTCACTTGTTATATCTTTGACAATGTCATCTTGCAACTTACAAAGTTTCAGTCAAGTCACCTTGCGTGGAAAGTCAGAAAATAAAATGACAAGAGAAAGCATGACCATACATACCAAAACAGGAAAAACGTACCTTATTACTGTATCCTTGTTTTTTATGCTTGACTCCTATAGAATAGAGTACTAGGATCAAATCTGGAGGGCAATCGGCAAAATATGCTGTGCATGTAACTGGTGACTCATGAATGTCCATTGGATATGGATTTTCAAAGATTGGAAAACTAGTAGATAAAAACAATATATTAGAGTCATTTTGCAAAGATAAAAATATGAAATAATTTTCATGATCAAGTTCTAAAGTGTTTATAAACATTATAAATGTCACTCTTTTCAGCACCATAAAAAGAATCATTTTATTTGAGTACTTTAAAAAATATAATTATCTATAAAGAAAGGTGTTAATAATGATAGAAATTAATTTTCTTTCCAGGCTGCCAACATCCCATAATGACCACTTTGTTAATATGAATGAATACAGTAATTTTATTAAACTAAAATACTATGTAATAAGTATGTCTTAAAATTTAGATCAATTACATATTATATTTAAAAATTTAACATACCTTTTACTATTTAATATTTTACTACTATACCTTTATATAACTTAAAGGCATATTATACCTTTAAATAACAAAATAATTATTTTGTTTGTATTAAATAGTAAAATATTTGTATTATAGTAGTACACTTTTAAGTAGTAAAATATTTATAAGTTTTACAAATAAATAAAATTTTAAAATATGTGTGATAGAAGCTAAAAGATATACATGAGTCCTGGAGGTTAAACACAGGTTGTCAAACTTGGTGACAGGAACCTTTATCCACTAAGCCATGTTACTAGCCCCAAGAGTTCTCTTTCTACCAATGAAGAGTGCTACAAAGAGCACAGTATTTCAGATTAGGATAGTAGCATGTGCAAATCAAAAGGGGAGGAGCAAGTTGTATTTCATTAATTAAAAAGTAGGGTAAACTTAGTAAATTAAAAATTCTTGATTCCAAAGTACAAATTGTTAATTGTGTCATTATTTTTCCTTTTATTTGAAAAATATTTTTATACAATATAATCTGATCATGGTTACAGTTGAATAGTTAGGGGGAAAATAAGAGTGAATCACTTCAAAGACCAGACCTACACCTGAATTTGATAACAGCAGTAAGGAACAATAACCAGATCCTTAAGCAGTGAACAACACAGTTAAGATACATGGAATCACTGTGTTAGCCTATAGGCAAAGAGTAAGTACAACACATGCAAGAAAACATAGTTTAAAATGTTCAATTTAGGCATTTAGCTTTCTTTTGGATCCTATGGTCTTTCACATGTTAAGCAAGTGCTCTATCACTAAACCTCATCCCTACAACAGGAACTTAAAAAGTGAAAGTGTGAAAAGAAAAGGATAGGGGACATAGAATGGGAGGATCAAGTGGGGAGGGGAGGAGCCAGATGTTGTAGGAGGGACTATGGTGAGAGACACCTAAAATTAAGGAACATTTGAGGGGTGTTATAAAACCTAATATCATAGAAACCTAATATCACATATCTATCTATATATCTGTATATCTATATATCTATATATCTGTATATCTGTATATCTATATATCTATATATCTATATAACTATATATATATATATATATTACTATATATATATATATATATATATATATATATATATATTACTATATATATATAAAGGTGATCTAAATGAAATCACCAAATAATGAAGGAGACAGAATTCAAGCTGGCCATCTTTTGTCTCCAAATAAAGCTTCTAGTACTGGGACTGGGTTATACCTAATTAAATTGTAGGCCAGTGTCCCCAAGGGATTCCCCAAACAACCTAGGATGTTGCCAAGACTATAGGTTGCTCTCCATAAACTGACAGTGAGACCCTATTGATGAACAGAACACTTACAAAAACATATATCAAACATAAAGGTGTCATGCTGGTGCCTACATAGAACCTTCATCTCTACATTTTAGCATCATTGGTACAAGAAAATATTCTGCACACTATCAAAAAAGAAACATAAACACCAAACCAGCCACAAATCCTTGATCTGCAATGGTATGCTACCTGCAAAATACGCTTGGACAATATTGGCACAAAGCTTGTAGGAGTAACCAACCAATAACTGATTTGATTTAAGGTCCTCTCAATGAGATGGAACCCAACCCATACCCACTACTGCTTGAGGGACCAAGCTTCTGAGAGTGATCGATAACCCAGGGACTTAAAGTAAAACTCAATAATATAAAAAAAATGTAGTATTAAAATGACTACTAATCATATTCTGCTATATTCATAGATTTGTACCTTCTTCAGCCATAATCAGAGAAGCTTCCTCCTGCAGCAGGAGACCTACAGCCAGACATTATGCAGAGAAAGAGAGACCCTGCAACACTCAGCCCTAAATGAAATATCTCCATCAAATCCCTTCCCACAGAGCTCAGGGAGCTCTGCAAAAGAAGTATAAGGGCCAGAGAGGATGGAAGATGCCAAGAAAACAGGGCCCTCTAAATCAACATGATCAAAACTCATACAAGGTCACAGAGACTGAAACAGTATGCACAGGGCTTGCACGGGTCTCTCCCAGGTCCGCTGCATATATATTATGACTTCCAGTTTAGTGTTTTTATGGGATTCCCGAGTATAAGAATAAGTGTCTTTCTGATTCCTATGCTCTCTGTTCTGCTCTTTTCTTTCTGCTGGCTTGCCTTGTCCATCTTTGATGCAATAGCTTTTGTATCATCTTATAATATTTTATTTTGTTATATTTTAAAAAGTGAATGAATAAATGAATGAATGAATGAATGAAAACCTTGGAAATAGTGTGAGGGTTAGCAATTGAACTGTCATTTATATTTTCTAGGAGAGGGAAAATTAGTTTTTTCAATGGAGTGATGCTGGGTATGGCAACCACTCTCATGCTTAGGAGTTGTTGACTGACATATAATAGACACCACAGTGTGTGTGTGTGGTGTGTGTGTGTGTGTGTGTGTGTGTGTGTGTGTGTGTATGTGTGTATGTGTGTGTGTGTGTATGTGTGTGTGTATGTATGTGTGTGTGTGTATATGTGTGTATGTGTGTGTGTGTGTGTGTTTTCTTTTTGGGTGGTGATTTTTTGTTATCTTGGCTTTGGGAATTTTGTTGTATTATGTTTTTGCTTGTCTTTTGGAAAAGAACTTAAAGTTGCATGAGTCGGGAGAGGGAGGGTCTGGATGGACTTGGGGGAGGGAAAGACTATGATCAAAATATACTTAAAGGTAAAAGTTATTTTAAATAATAAAGGAAGCTATAACTCTCCCTCCAGATAAAAGAAGATCTAAGAACCAAGAGGGAACAATTGTTCACCATAATGTTTGTATGAGTAAATTAATAAAAGTAAATAGTTTACGAGTACATAGAAGTGTCTGCAGAAGATGGGGGATAGAATAGAGAGAAGGCTCTAAACACATAACTTGCTTAACATTCAAAGCAGTTGAGAAGAAGATATCTGAAGGAAATAGAATAGATTCAGTGTTGATATTTACATTTATCTAATATTTGACAATAATGGAAATTTACATTTTAATCGTGTCATCAAAGTAAACAAATTTTTTGACAAAATGTTTATTCACGTACTTAAGATGATAGGAACCATAAGAACAGAGCTGGAGAAAGAACTCAGTGAGTATGAGGACTTTTCTCTGAAAGCAGGAAGACCTGAGTTCAAATTCTCAGCCCACTATAATCCTATAAACCTAAACACCGCCTATAAGCTGGGAGGTAGATAAGTGAGTCTCTGGATCTGCCTGACAACAAGACTAAAAGCAGCAAGCTTCCAGTTCACTGAGTCTCAGCTAGAGGAGATGAGCAGAAGAGGGGTAGAAGAGGATTTCCAAGGACCTCCCCTCCTTTGTACTCTACATACACGTACATGGGTGCATGAACCTGTATACTCACATGCATGCACCTCATACAACACACACATGTGCACACAGACACACACACACATGCATACACACCATAAGAGTAAATATATAAAATAGGAAACTGTATTACACATATTTCACCACAATAAAAATTTTAGTGTGTATATAAACTAAAGAAATTTAATATAAAATATCTAGTAGTCATTAGAGGTCAATAAGATGCGAGGAAACAATATATATGACATAGCTGAACACCAGTGCTAAGATAAGTATATTTTAACAAAAATAGATCGTCATTTCTTAAAGAAAGAATAATCTAGGGAACACTGATGGAATAGAAACTGTCTCCGTATGGCCAAAGTCAGAATTAATAAAAGAGTACAGTGGGGCTGGAGAGATGGCTCAGCAGTTAAAAGCACTTGCTGTTCTTCCAGAAGATAAGAATGAAGTTCCCAGCACCCACACCAGGCAGCTTCACAACCTTGAACACCTGCACTCACATGCACATACCCACATGCAGAAACACCCACCTACACATAATTGAAAATAATAAAAAAATCTTTAAAATACTAGACTTTACTCCAAAGAGACAAAGTTCATGAAAATATCAGAAACTTGTGAAGGACAGGTGAAACGTGAGGAAAAGAAGATGGATCCAGAGGGGGAAAAAAAAACATAAGGTGAGGTGAGACCTAAATTCCCTGTGTAGCAGATAAAGGTAGACATTAACTGGTACCAGATACTTGCTGGGGTCCAAGATTATTAGTCATCATCAAAGAGGTCCTATCCCCTCTTGAGGACAGATGCTATAGGAATACCAAATAGAGAGGGAATAAGTAGGCTAAAGACATGACAAGGAGGGATATGATGGACAGAAATATGGCCCAAGAAAGTCATGGAGATTTCAACAGAATTACAATACAGGGGCTTAACATGAGATTCTCCATAAGTTCTTCAGAGTAACCAGCCTATAGAAGTTATGGAAGGTACTAAATCCATAACAGCCTAGGTGAGCAACAATGTAGAAACATAAGATGTATACTGAACATGGTACACAGTCTCAGCCAAGGACTGTGGTTCATTAGTTAAACCCAAGAGGGATCTGAATGAGAAGAAAACACTAAGGTTAAAGGCAAGTGGGTCCCCTCCTTCCATAGCCCTCAGAGTATAAACCACCACATACTCCACGTAGAATGTATGATCCTTAGCATACCAAAAACTACCTTGTAGGGTACAAGTATAGGGTGTCAGACTGTGAGATTCCTAAAGAAAGCAGAGAGACCCGTTGGAGAGGGCACACTAGTCT